AAATTTATGGACCAACTTCAGTCAAACAAGACCCAACACTTTTATTCCTGATTTAAACTAGCAATCATGTGAGCAGCTGTATGCTTTTATTTTTTTCTGTCAGGCTGTCGGAGCGCTCCTCCTCCTCTGTCCGAGGCTGGTGTGGGGTGAAAATCCTCCACCTCAGACGTTCAGAGATGTAACTATCTGCGATACTGTGGTCACTCTCCATGTAGCATCAATTATGCTAATGCTAGCTGCCTGTCACGTTCTCTCGTCCTGGCCACACCTCCGCTCTCTACCCCACCCCTTCCTCCACCCACACCCCCTCCCCTACCCACTTTGATGCATTTTTCAAATTTCGCCTTGGGGCGGAGTTATCTTTTCACAGGGGTGGTGGGGGGGTGTAACATACACTTTAAGAACAAATCTGTGTGTACGAACGGTTCTTGCATGAGGCCCATTCTTCAGGATTGTAGTTGGAAGATTTAACCTTAGAAAAACAGGATAAAATCCACAGTTTGATTTAAAGGAGACCTATGATTCTGTAAAATCCTTCATGRGTTTATAAAAAGTGGAACTGCAATGCTTTGGTCTGAATTCCTCCTTATTGTAACTCCACAAGCCCCGCCCCTTTTCTGAAGTTTGTTTCASATCAGCTYGTTTTGAAGCTGTCTYTTTAAATCCAAATGAGGCACTTCAAACCCCGCCTCCTTACGGCTTATTTACAAATGAATTTAAAGATGTTCATCCATCAAWACACGCTGAAGCCACGGTCTAAGTTAGCATCAGAGCTAGAGTCTGCTAGCGTCCTCTCACCCTGCCGTGATTCACGTCCGTGCTCCTGTGGTCCTCTAACCACAGGGCTCCTCTTCAGGTGTGCTGGTGGCTCCGCCCTCCCATTAATCAGGTTAAATATTAACGAGTCATTAATCCTGTTAGAGGCCGCTGTGATGAATCTGCAAGTATCGATCTGACTCTACGAGTTTCAGTGTTGCTCGTTCATCTCACTTCACCGTCAGGCTGCTTGTCTTTAATGAGGTGTGTGTGTGTGTGTGTGTGTGTGTGGTGTGGGGGTCACTTAATGAGCTGCATGACTTCCTTTGTGTCCATCTTTGGCAGGAACCGTGATCGGGGTGGTGGTCTACACAGGCAAGGAGACCCGCAGCGTTCTGAACACGTCCTCCGCTAAGAACAAGGTGAGGACTTGGTCTGGTTCAGGTTCAGTTCTGAGCTGGTTCAGGTCAGGTTCAGTTCTGAGCTGGTTCAGGTCAGGTTCAGTTCTGAGCTGGTTCAGGTCAGGTTCAGAGGATTTTACATTTCTGAAGGGTACAAACCAAACCCTTGAAGAGTCCTTGTACTTTAAAACAAGTCTGAGTCCCTGCAGGGACAGGGTGGACACAGAGTCCTGAGGGACAGCTGCAGCTGTCCCTCAGGACTCTGTGTCCACCCTGTCCACCCTGTCCACCCTGTCCCTGCTGCAGCAGCTTCCTGTCGCCTCAGTGTTTTCCTGAACGCTGATTCGGCTGGTCGAACGGCCGCTCAGCAGCTGCTCGATACTCGTCGGAGAYGGTGTCAGAAGTGCCGATGCAGAGGCTGCAGGGCGGAGGGGAAAGTCGATACGGTGCACCTGAACGCCTCGTGTAATCCACGGTGACACCAGCGAGGACCGAGCCGGTCCCGATCAATCGGACAGGACGCTGAAGTGACGTCCTCGCGTCTCCCTTGTTCGCTCTGAATCATTTTCACTTTTGTTCTTGTTCCTCTAAACTTTGTGCGGACGGGTTTATAACGAGTCACGTTGGGTGTAGACTAGTTGCTGGGCGTCAAACCGTGCAGTCTGGATATTCTTTAGTTTTAATTTGATGAATATTCAGCAGCTCTTCATCAGATTTCACACACATGAGCCGAGGCGGTCAGATCCAGTGGTTCCTTTCAGTTTTAATGGTTCAGACGTGAATGGAGGGAAATCTGCACTTTAATTCCCTGATAGCATCTTTAAGTTTGGGGGTAATTGAGTCTCTTTTTGCCTCTTTGACTGAATGAATAATGACTTCATCTGATCCTCGCAGCCATTGTTCCAGCAGAAGGGGATCCGGAGCTTTTCAGGCGCTCTGTGTTCTCGCTCTTAATTTTTCTTCATTTTAATCCAACCAGACCTGCTATTTTTCTCAATTGCTCAACCATGAACCATGTAGTGGGACCGAGGGGGGGTGGGCTCGCCCAGTCCTCGGGGGAATGAGGTTTTAAGGTGGGGGGATTTAAGCAGAGGAGGAATTTTTGCTCCTTTTATATACGTGCCCCCACCCGGCTTCTCTGCCAGGAAGGGGACGGACACGTCTTTATTTGACATCTTTTTCCCACATGCTCCATTGGCTGAGAGACACACTCTAAAAATAAAGGACAGTCCTGTCCCCCCGGTCCCCCAAACCTCCCGTCCCCCCACTCAATATGAGGACGTTCTCCAGTTTTTAAAGAAAAAACAAAACTTCCTCATTGATGATGCAGGTTGTAGTTTAATAACGAGTCTCTCCCCCACCGCTGAAAGGACAGGGTGGGCAACCATGTTCTGTCTCTGTTAGCAAAATATGTCAACAACCACGAAACATTTTATTGCAACTTTCTGGAGCTAGCTCAGTCCAAGATGGCCGCCACAGCCTCCTGACCTTAAAGTGTCAGTTCTGTGAAGGTACAGAACCGGATGAAAGGTTCTGCAGAGAAACTTGTTCTGGGATGACTGGACTCTGAACCGGTCCATCATTAAACAGGTTCTGAACTGATTTATTTTTACGAGCAGGTTCTGTTTCTTCTGTTTTCATCCCTGCAGGTCGGCCTTCTGGACCTGGAGCTGAACCGCCTCACCAAAGCTCTGTTCCTGGCCCAGGTGGTTCTGTCTGTGGTCATGGTGGCGCTGCACGGGTTTGTGGGTCCGTGGTACCGCAACCTCTTCAGATTTGTGGTTCTGTTCTCCTACATCATCCCCATCAGGTGTTTAAAAGATTTTATAAACGGGCCGTGTTCAGAACCAGAACAACAAACTGAAGGTGTCGTTTCACCTGTTGCTCAGTTTGCGGGTGAACCTGGACATGGGGAAGTCGGCGTACGGCTGGATGATCATGAAGGACGAGAACATCCCCGGCACCGTGGTCAGAACCAGCACCATCCCGGAGGAACTGGGCCGACTGGTCTACCTGCTGACAGACAAGACRGGTGTGGCTAAAGACTGTTTGTGTTTTAAATAATCAATCACACTTTACACTAATTATTATTTTAGACACATTACCAGGGTTAGTTCTTCTGTCCTCGTTATAATTTAACAAACAGGAAGTTTATTTTTATCCTGCTCAGTCTGACTATATAAATAATAACACACACACACACACATAATAAATAAATAAATAAATAAATAAATAAATAAATAAATAAATAAATAAATAAATAAATGTTTAATTTAATTTACCTGTACCCTTCATGGTTTAACCTGTTCTCTGACCTGCAGGGACTCTGACACAAAATGAAATGATCTTCAAGCGTCTCCACCTGGGGACAGTTTCCTACGGCACGGACACCATGGACGAGATCCAGAGCCACATCATCCAGTCCTACGCACAGCTGAGCAAACAGGTGAGCAGTGAGTTACCTGAAGGTACTGTGGTGTGGTATGAGGGCCAAAATTAAGAGCAGCTWGCCTCTCCAATGCTAACACCAGCTTATGCGTGCTAGTTGCTAGCCTCTCTGTTAGCGCTGTCGGCCTGTCATTAATCATTAATCAGACCAACAGCTGGTTTAGGAACAGATGTAGCCTCCTGCTACAAGGWTGTAACAACCCCTGGTTGAGCAATAGTTTTAGTTTGGGCCCTCAGACCACACCATAGGGTACAAACAGGTGAGTGATTTGTTACCTGTAGGTTCATACAGGTGAGTTAMTCTCAAAAAGAGTAAAGTTTTGAAGGATTAGATTAAAAATAGCAACAATGTCAGAAAAATGTAGAACTTGATAAAAAGTAGCATGAAGTAAAAAGAGTGTGTTTGGTTCTGCTGGAACCTTAAATCAAGCCCAGCAGCTGCCTCCAGAAGCTCTGGTACCATGTTCTGATGGTTTCACTGGGCCGGAGAGGTTCTGAGTGTGGGGAGCAGATGGAGCTTCATGTCTGAGGAGGAGGATGGAGAGGATGAAGAGCGGAGATGAGGATCCTCAGAGGAGCTGAGTGTCTCAGGACGTCAGGACTGTCTCCACCCAGAACTCATTAAGTAGTTTTTGTTCTTCAGCTGTTTGTGTTTCCTCTCAGATAAAACACACATTTATCCAGATGTTTGTAGAACTGAAGGTTTTACTTTGTGTTTAATCTCTCCTCCTCTTCTTCTGGCTGTTAATCATGTTTGATGTGAGGCAGGAAGTGTTTCACATATTGTCCATTCATCACGCAGCGTCCCTCAGAGACTCCTCCCTCTACTGTAAGCCAAGTGTTTTCCTCTCAGCCAGCTCCCACCATCTGCTCCGGCCCTCCTGTGTAATCTCAGCTAATGAAAAAAGGACCTGGACCGCCAGAACCCACTCAGAACAGCTGATCCAGCTTCATTCTGCTTCACCTTGTACTGTTTGATTGACATGTTGACCTGTCACAGACGGTTTTGTCCTCTCCTTGAGTTTTAGTCTCAAAGAGAACCAGACTTTCTCTGGTCAAATGTCCCTCAGCTGGTGTCTCCTGGACCTCAACATGTTTGTCTCCAACAAGTGTCTTGCTGATATTTGATCACTCTTCTTCATCTTCTTGAGTTCATTAGTTTCCTGGTCTCAAASCAGCTTTTAACCAGAACCTGGTTGTCTTCTGGTTTTGTCCAGTCAGAACCCAGTTCTGGTGTGTGTTTGACATCACTGTCCTGTTGGACCCAACTGTGTCCAAGTATCAACTGTCCAGCTGTTGACTGAGYGGTTCTGTGTTCTGAGGTCTCCTCAGAAGTGTCCTTCTTGTCTTTGTCTCCTCTAACCAAACCTTTCTCCAGAGGACATTGTCTTGTCCATTGGGACAGATGCTGGTTTCAGTCCAGCTTGAAGGTTTTGGAGCTTCTTCCTTGGTCCACTGAGTCTACAGGAATGGAAAACTGGCTTCACTGATGGACAGGGACTCTGGTGGATGTGGACTCTGGTGGATGTGGACTCTGGTGGATAGGGACTCTGGTGGATGTGGACTCTGGTGGATGTGGTCTCTGGTGGAT